CATGTCAGCTTCCCTGGAATTTATTATTTGCTTTGCAATCCCAGTCCAGTTTTAGGGAGACGCCATGTGGCAATGCACAGTAGTGTAATCTGTAATTCATATTTGCTGTTGAAAGGATCAGAGATAGGGATATTCTATTCATTTCTTCGCATTGTATGAGAACAGCTCTGTTGTATCAAGACCATAATCTGTCAGATCTATCTGCTGCCTATAGAATGCATCATACATCCCATAATTTCCTTCCCACTATAAAAAGCTGTTCATTGGAATAGAGGAGAAAACAAGCAAATATGTCCTGGGAATACTTTCCAGTAGCATCTGACACGTGAACATCTGAGAGTTGTATGAAAGTGCAACCAAGTTTGGCCCTTGTTATAAGCCAACTTTTCTTTTATTTGGCTGTACTTTTTTTTTTATCATTACATTATGTGAGTGCATTCAAGCTTGTTAACTGGTGACGGCACCATGACATGGAGTATTGGATTCAAACTGCAAGAAAAATTATTCAACCTGAACATTAGGAAGAAATTCCTGACCCTTAGAGCTCTTCAACGCACCATCTCAGAGTATGGTGGATTCTCCATTTCTGAATGGCCATGTGTCGGGAGTGCTTTGGTTGTGTTCCTGCATGGCAGAATGGGGTTGACCTGAACAGCCCTTGTGGTTGCTTCCAACTCCAGAATTCTAATTTTATAGGGTTGTCTTAGGCAAGGAATACTCAGAAGTGGGTTTGTCAGTTCCTTCCTCGGAAATATGGCCTACAGCACCTGGTATTCACTGCTGGTGGTCCTCTTTCACTTCTAAGATCAGACAGGAGCAGGTACCTTTAGAAAATACAAGAAATCAAACAAATAAAATTTCCCTTAGTACTGTGTCTGCATGGTAGTGAGTTTTCATCTACTGGATTTTAGTGTGATGTGCAGTCAAAGAATCATAGAATCATAGAGTTGGAAGAGACCTCATGGGCCATCCAGTCCAACCCCCTGCCAAGAAGCAGGAAAATTGCATTCAAAGCACTCCCGACAGATAGCCACCCAGCCTCTGTTTAAAAGCTTCCAAAGAAGGAGCCTCCACCACACTCCGGGGCAGAGAGTTCCACTGCTGAACAGCTCTCACAGTCAGGAAGTTCTTCCTCATGTTCAGATGGAATCTCCTTTCTTGTAGTTTGAAGCCATTGTTCCACGTCCTAGTCTCCAGGGCAAGCCGTGCTCTTGATGTTCTCAGTGTCTTCATAATTTCATAATATCTACTCGTATCATTAAGTTAGAGCAATAATAACTGCTGACATCATTTATGGCAAAAAAAAAACCCCCACAAAAAACCTTGTTATTTGCAGGCATCCTTGTCTAGCCTACCAGTTTAAAACCTCATGTAGCTATCAGTATTGCCATGACATCGCAAGAAGGTGCAGAAAATCTAGCTCCCGTGGAATGCTTTATTGGGGGATAGAGTAGCCACAAGAATCCTTTAAGACTGCCTATACTTAGACTCCTGGCAGAAGCGCAGAAGCTTCCTAAGACAGGTGGCTCAGTTTTCACTCTTCCCTTCAGCCACTTGTTTCTCTCTTTGGAAAAGTTTAACAGGAATGCTGTTTTCTTCTGAGTTGGTCCTCAGCAGTAATTGAAAAAGCCTCTAATAAAATGACTTGCTGTAGACCAGGGGTCCTCAAACTTTTTAAACAGAGGGCCAGGTCACAGTTCCTCAAAGTGTTGGGGGGCCGGATTATAATTTGGGAAAAAAATGAATGAATTCCTATGCACACAGTGCATATCTTATTTGTAGTACAAAGGACAATGTAAAACAATACAGTAATTAAAATGAAGAACAATTTTAACAAATATTGTTTATTATTATTATTTCAATGAGAAGTCTGGTCCTGCTTTTGGCTGATGAGATAGGATTGTTGTTGTTGTTGTTGTTGTTGTTGTGGGCTTTCAAAATGTTTCAGACTTAGATTGACCCTGAGCGAGTAAATGACCTTGGAGGGCTGTATCCAGCCCCCAGGCCTTAGTTTGAGGACCCCTGCTGTAGACAGTGGAGGAATGGGCAAATTTGGCAGGGTTGAGTACCCAATTTTAGCTCACACCACCTTCCCCAGCCTATGCCTAGGGGGAAAGGAAACCAGGGGGAGGAGGAGAATGGTCTCTTAGAATTCAAAAGCTCTAACTTGGAAGTTGCTGAATGCCAATTTCAGAAATCTTTGGGCAGATTCAAACTTGGGCCAGTATGGTGTAGTCAGGTTAAAAAAAACCTGGTTTACTCATGAATTTTAACTGGTTAACCAAATCCCCCATGCTAAGTCTATTAGAAGCAAAAATTAAATGAGTCCCTCCAGAACTGCAAGCACTATCTCAACCAAATTTTGACAATTTATTCACACTGTCATTACTCGTAGCAATATGTACCTAAAATGATCAAGGGTCTGGGGAACAAGCCCTATGAGGAGCAGCTTAAAGAGCTGGGCATGTTTAGCCTGCAGAAGAGAAGGCTGAGAGGAGACATGATAGCCATGTATAAATGTGTGAGGGGAAGTCATAGGGAGGAGGGAGCAAGCTTGTTTTCTGCTGCCCTGGAGACTAGGACATGGAACAATGGCTTCAAACTACAGGAAAAGAGATTCCACCTGAACATGAGGAAGAACTTCCTAACTGTGAGAGCTGTTCAGCAGTGGAACTCTCTGCCCTGGAGTGTGGTGGAGGCTACTTCTTTGGAAGCTTTTAAACAGAGGCTGGATGGCCATCTGTCAGGGGTGCTTTGAATGCGATTTTCCTGCTTCTTGGCAGGGGGTTGGACTGGATGGCCCATGAGGTCTCTTCCAACTCCTCTTTGGAGGCTTTTAAACAGAGGCTGGATGGCCATCTGTTGGGGGGTGTTTTGAATGCAATATTCCTGCTTCTTAGCAGGGGGTTGGGCTGGATGGCCCATGGGGTCTCTTCCAACTCTATGATTTTAATACCAAATATAGTTGAAGCAATCAAGTTGGCCCACCCTTAACTGGCAGACAAAGCCTAAAGCATTGCGGGGGGGGGGGGGGTGTTGGCAGGGACGGAGCTGCTGGCTATTTAAGGCTGCTCCGTGCTCCTGCTATGCTCCATCTTGAGCTAGGAGTTAGGTTCCTAACAGGGAATTAGGTCTTTCCCTCCTTGTTCCTTCTCCTCCCCTTTTCCAGAGGATAATAGGGTTCCCCTTGCTATGGGCCTTTGCTCCAGGGAGACACCCTACAATTTGGCCCGTGGCATTTATTGGCAAGGATTTCCCAGCTGAGCGTAAAGGGGCTGGTCAGGCTCATGGCCTAACAAGCGAGAAGGCATGCATCAGATCTGGTCTGTTCTGGATGCTGTGCAGTCATCCTCTCTTGGCCTCAGAGCAAGGCACAGACACACTATTGGAAGTATAAATCTTCATTTCATGTGGCCAACTGCCTGGTTTGGGGTGGGAATCCTGTCTCCCCACCCCAAACTTCAGGGCTGCATTTCCACCTCGTGGTAGGCCAAATGTTGGGCCCTTCCTGGAAGAGGCTGTTTGCTTTGCTGCCACAGGGGGCGCCATTTTCTACAGTGCTTGAGTACTGCACAGCCATGTGGGAATTTGATAATTGAAGCTGAAAAATTGGTGTAATTTTGCACTTTTGTTTTTCACAGGCTTTTGACCCAAAACAGTAAAACTCTGGGACTCTATGTGGAGACAGGCAAAACCGTTGAATTTAGTCTGAGCAGCTGAGCCATATACAAATTTTCAAAATTCAACTTGTTGTTGCTGTTATATTTATCCCTCCCTCTGCTTCTTTTTTCAGTTTGGGACTCAAAAGTGTCTTGCAAGTTTTAAAAAAAATGTTTATAGTGATATATAAATGCTAAACAGAGATACTAGTAGTTTTCAGCTTCCTGTTGCTTTTTCTGTTGTTTGTTTTATTTGCTTATCCTTTTCAATAACGGAAATTAACTGATAAACATACAAACATGGACATTTGATTATTTACTTCTGCAGCCACCAGAGGAAACTATTCATATAATTATTATTAACTTCATATAAGACACTGGATTCAAGTTGATAATGAAGCACTTTTGAAAGAACTTATGTCACCTTTCACTCCCCCCAACCCTTACATTCCCACTAGATTTGAAAACCTTTGCAATTCAAGTGGCAAATAAGCAAAAAATAAGATCCAATTTGCTTCCAGTAAGAAAATTGTATAATACAGTAGGTAACATTTTAATTTTACTTTCTGAGAGTTAACTTTCTTAATAACTCTTACATAAATATTCATATTTTCTTGTTTATTTATGTAGCCCCATATTTGTGTCAGAAAATCTTCATTTTCTGCCCTGAGCAAAATACCTTCATCTATTCAAATATTTGACAGGAAAGGGTTTGATTGGACATGAACTCATAGGAAGATTTTTCACTTTCAGCTTTGTTGCTTATGCTTTTCAATATGATGAAAATGAGAAAAAAAGAGAAAGAAGAGGAAAATACTCTCTCTGTTGCTCTTTATTACTTATTCCCCAGGACACCCCCCCCCCTTTTTTCTCTTTCTCGGTGCACTGAGTCCCATATGGCCAAGAGCAGAAAATGAAAATAGAAAAGGAATTTCCCCATCTCTCCAGAATATTCTCCCAATAACTTGTTCATTTAATAATAAATTAAAGTCCTTATGCTTATATTGATTGGATGAAGGATTGTGTCCCAATACTATTGGTATCCAGGGTGTTGCACAAGGAGATAGGGGAAACCTCTGTCCACAATATCAATTGAAGTACCAACACAACCATAGGTTATACCAGCATATGTCGCCAACCAGATTCCATTTGACAACACCAAGTCATTTTGTAAACGTTTTCTAATACCCTACAAATGGCTCTTTGCTGTTTGTTCAGTAAAGAGGAAATATAGCAGAGACTGGGGAGCACCAAAAGAACAAACAATTGTTCATTGTAACAGCTCCTTGGACTTTATTAGTGTTAGTCTGTTAACATAAGGGAAATAAAGATCACCAAACATTTAGGCAAAGCATAGTTTATTTTCTATTTGGGTGACTGAGGAAAGATTACAGGATTTCTAGAGTTTTCAAACAACATCAGGGCTCAGAGTATATATGCATTTTGCATACATTCCTGGCTTCAGATTTGCATTGAAATCATTCTTCACTTTCTATTACCACCTGGCAAAAAACAAAAACAATAAATAAAAATCAGACTAAAGGAAGACAGTATGAAGTTTCAGCCATTATATGGTGCAAACAAAACTACACAGCCCAACAAAAATATTCTTGGTGTCTTAGTTTTTAGGGTTGGTGATAAAGCTTCAGTGGAGACACCTTTTCCCCATCATAACTCTTACAGGAGTTAATTTTTCATTTTTCATCTTAGGTAAGGTTTCCTCTCACTTCCTGTTGTCTCACTCCTGTTTGTAATTAGAAATCATATGTAAGTCAGATGTTTGTAACTCACAGACTGCCTGTATGAACAAGACTGCAGACATTATCTTGAGGCTTGAAATAGTCTTGGACTTGTGTAGAGACTGCACAGTCTGGGGGTGGAAGTGATATCTGACAACTCCTCGGGTGTTTCGGCAGGTCTATCCCAGGCCTACTTCAGCCTCGCATGATGGATGTAACAAGGCACATGGTTTCCATCTATTAAAATGTTTTGCCCCAGTTGAGGGATAAAGATGTTGTTGCTCAGGCCTGTGTTTGTGCATACACAAACCGGATAATTATATCCACATGAAAATAGCTTAAATGGCTATCATAGCTCTGCTTTTGAAGTGAGGAAAGGAAGAAATGTTTGAATGGGCTGTCCAGAAACTGATTTTAACCTCCCAGGTAAAAGTAGGAGCTTTACATGAGAGCTTTGCATGCATATGTGATATGTGACTTGAATAAGTTTGTGTAGAATCTCTTGTCTTTATACTAGTTCATATTGGAGCCACTCTCTCTTTCCCCACTTACCCAATTCCATTGATTTCACTAATACTGAAGATACACAGAATCTGAAGCTAAACTGTTTCTGCCCTGTTTCTAACCAGAACTTGAATTGGCATACTGTTTCTTCGCTTCTGAACAATGTTTTTAATGGAAAACACAAACCCCTAGGTTTCTCACCAGAATGCTGCGTTCCTTTCCATCCACTGTTGCAATGTCAATCTATAATTGTGATCACCTTTAGCTGGTACAAATGGCTTCCCATGATACATGAGGAAGCACTTACCTTTGTACTGGAAATTTCTCTGCTCTTTGCTCGGAGCTTATTGACTTGAGACTCAGCAATATCAGCCCTTTCCTCAGCTTCTTCCAGCTCATGCTGAGCTTTTCTGTATTTGGAGAGGTGAACGTTGGCCTGCTCATCCTGTTGCCAAGAAAGAACCACATAAAAACACTCAGTTGAAAAAAGAAAGTTACAATTATATCTGTAATTTCAAAACTGGGACATTTTTCCGAATAAAATCATTTTTTTTAAATAACTTACAGACTCTTCTGCTTGTCTCTTATAGGATTTGACCTTCAGCTGAAGCTTATCCACCAAATCCTGTAACCTGATCACATTCTTTCTATCCTCTTCTCCCTAGAAAAGAGAACAACATTTTAGCCAATATACAGTACGACCCACAGAAGAGCCCCTTGGAGAGCCTGGATAAGAACAAATCTATATTTTGACTATACTGGAGCTGGAACCGCAATGGAGAACCAAGAAAGTCCCATAAACATTGGGGGGAGAGGTGGTTTAAGCATTGGTAAGTAAAACCTTGGAGATCAAAACTGGATAAGGGGACTGTACTGTACTATTGAGTTATGCTCAGTAAATATGCATAGTTTCTCAAGGAAACAAAGAATGGGGAAGCAGGTTGCCTGCTTAGACTCTTACCTGGAAAGTCAATTCTTTGACTCGCCGTTCATACTTGCGAATACCTTTGATGGCTTCTGTTGCTCGCTTCTGCTCTCCCTCAAGCTCAGATTCTAGCTCTCGGATCTAAGAGGACAAGGGAAAAATGATGTGACTCTGCAGATCTGAAATAGGAGCCTCTTAGCCATGAAGAATCTTGTAAGCTGGCACCAGCCTTCACCCCCAGTATGTACCCTGGCCTCCATTTTCTGGATTTGCTTCTTCCCCCCTTTCAGAGCAAGCTGTTCTGCCTCATCTAGGCGAAGCTGCAGGTCCTTCACTGTTTGATCCAGATTCTTTTTCATTCTCTCCAAGTGAGCACTCGTGTCTTGCTCTTTCTTCAGCTCTTCTGCCATCATGGCCGCCTTGAAAGATAAAGAGTATACCCTTATCAACAGTCATAAATGACAGTGCACAAAAATACAGAAGAACAGCTCAGCAGAGTTTGGGAGAACAATGTGTGACTCTCAAGAAGAACCTGTCATAACCAACATAGTGAGTAACTCTTCTCGGTGAGGTAATTAACAACTAATCAGTGTTCTGGGTTGTTCTATAAATATGGAAACATCAATGAAAGAGGATTATTTTATGACAGTATAAATTCAGACTCCATAGTAATTTATGACTTGGTATATAGCCCCCGATGGCACAGCAAGTTAAACCGCTGAACTGCAGCACTTGTTGACCAAAAGGTCAGGAGTTTGAATCCAGGGAGTGGGGGTGAGCTCTTGCTGCTAGCCCCAGCTTCTGTTAACCTAGCAGTTTGAAAACATGGAAATGTGAGTAGATCAATAGGTACCACTTTGGCAGGAAGGTAATGGCACTCCATGAAGTCATGCCAACCATGGACAATGCCTGCTCCTCAGCTTAAAAATGGAGATGAGCACCACCTCCCCAGAGTCGGACGACAAGATTAATGTCAAGGGGAATCCTTTACCTATTTATATTGCTGACATTTCAGACATAGGAGCTACCTTTCTGATAAAACAATTTAGTGATGTGGGATTAGTGTATGGCAGTGTTATCATAGGAACTAATTGACTGGATCTTTTACATGAAATTGATAGGCCTACATTAATGTTTCATATGCTACAGCTGACTAGAGCAGCATAATAGAACTAAATGACTGTGACTGAAAAGCACCTTACATGATTTATATTTAGATCTGTGATTTGCATAAGTTACCTGGACTTACTTTCATTTTTTGTTCTTACAAGAATCTATACTTTAAATTTGACAGATCCAACAAAAATAAAACATAACATGGAAAATCCATTAGTACAAATACTGGACAAAAACCGTTTGCATATGTTAAGATGTGAGCTTTCAAGAGGCTATAATGTGAAGGTGAGTATGCTTTCCCCCCTCCCCACATGCTCTTTTACTCTCTCTACAAGGTGACAAGGGGCTTCCTCACAAAAGAATGAATATATTGGAGGGGCTTAGAGAATGTGCCCACACCAAGAATATACAGGGGCAAGCTAAGCAGAATTTAGCCACTGAAACATTGTCTCAGTCACAAGACTCATTTACTATAAAGCATGCACTTCAATCTCCCCATGCCAAGGTTCATGATAAACTCCTTTACCAAGCATCACAACTTTCTCTAAAAAGCTCAATATTACTAAAGTTCATGCCTTTTGTGCTTAATACCACTAACCATTCATCTCTCACACAAGTTTAGAATTAAGCTCATGTTGCCTATCTTGCCATCCTACAAAAATAATACAAATTGTTGGATATTTCATGCTGATTTTCAAAGGAGAAAAATATGAGTACGTTGTGTGAAGGACCTTCTTTCGATTTTCTTTATTTCATTGACTTATGATTAGGGACCTTGCGTCCTTGACCTTTTCTGAGCAGGCTACTAGCATTTCTTCAGAACAAGCTATTAGCATCATTGCATGCATCCACTAATATGAGCTAAAGTGGCCGTGGCAATTGCTAAAAGGAAAAAGAAATGAGGCTCTTACATCTGTGATTGCTTTCTTTGCTTTCTCTTCTGCATTTCTGGCTTCTTTAATGGCATCTTCCACTTCAGATTGAAGTTGAGAAATATCCATTTCCAGCTTCTTCTTTGTGTTAATGAGACTCGTGTTCTACAAAAGAGACAGTGGTTTGTGATCTTTTAGCAGTGATCAGAAAATGATTCCTCGCAGTCTTAGAGACAGGATATCTCTGGTTCCCAAGTCATTACATGTCTTCACATAATGTCTTATTTATGGCAGCCCTAACCCTATCATGGGGTTTTCAGTTGCTGAGAGTGAGTCACCAGGGTCAGTGGTTTTCTATGGCTAAGTGGGGAGTCAAACCCTGATCTCCAGAGTCATTGTCCAGAACTCAAACCACTATTACTATACTGGCTGATTAACAAGTCACCACAGAGTTACCAGGACCTAGGACAAAAATCCTAGATAGCTAATTCCACTATGCTCTGCTTTTGAACCTTCCTGTCTGACTGCTGATGGGACATCGAATCCCAGAAGGGATTCAATTTTTGCTTGAATCCAGCACAGTAAGTCCCATATTGTTGCAGCGATAGCTGTTGCCCACACCTGTGTATGTAGGAGCTGCACACGCTCAGTGGCATCCAGAAGTTCCTGTTCAGCCAGTTTCCTGCCCCTCTCTGTCTGTTCCAGAGCTGCCCGGAGCTCTTCGATCTCCGCCTGCATCAGGTTAGCTCTGCGCTCAACCATGGACAACTGCTCTTTGAGATCCTCTTGGCCTCGGAGGGCTTCATCCAAATGCAGTTGCATGTCCTAAAAAAGAAGAGGGCAGAAATTGATTCCTTAGTAGGATTGATTATTGGGTGATAATATATACTACTTATATGAAGGACTGATTGACAAATTAAGTACTTTGAGCTGCCCTTGGACATTCCTGAGGTGTTTCTGTGTCTCAGCAGCTAGGCGGTTAGCGTGGCTCAGCTGGATTTCCATTTCATTCAGATCCCCCTCCATCTTCTTCTTAATGCGTATGGCCTCATTCCTACTCCGGATTTCTGAATCTAAAGCAGTTTGCATTGTTTCCACTGTTCTTAGGTGGTTCCTCTTCAGCTGATCAATTTCTTCATCTTTCTCCGCAATCTTTCTATCAATCTCAGATTTCACCTGAGTTAACTCCAGCTGAATGCGAAGGATTTTAGCCTCCTCATGTTCAAGAGCTGCCTATTGAAAAAATGAAATAATAAATTAATATTTGGTTTAAGGAAACCAATAGCTCTTTTTGCTGATGCTATTATGCAGTAAATGTTATTTCATTTAACACCTGTTATGTTAATGTATTAACAACAAAGTGATAAATCCCTGCAGCAGTATTAAAAATATAGTATGCGATAGGTATAGTCACATATTGTCATTGTTCCTTTACTTAAGCTAAGGTGATTATCCCACGTGATCCCATCTGCCCAGCAAATGCCCTGATTTGTTTTGTGGGAAACATCTCCAAGTGTGAGCATCTTTACTACTTCCCTCACAAAAGAGTCATGCAAACACATAATTGTATTTCTATCTCTTTTCTATCACAGCTTACCTCTGCTTCTTCTAGAGCCATCTGCATGTCAGATTTCTCCACTTCTACCTGCTTCTTGGCCTTCTCAAGTTCATGAATGTATTTCCCATTTTGAGCAATTTGTTCTGTAAGATCACCTATTTCCTCTGGAAACATTAAAATACAGAAATATAGGACAAATTGGGTTACAGAAGAGTGAAAGCTTCTGGAATTAATGCAACCAATATCATCTGCATACATATAAAGATTTGCTACAACAAGCAAGCATGAGCAAAGTTTAGACTGATGCCTTCTTCTGTCACATTGAGTAAGATCAGGTATATTAAGAAAACATATTTGGCATGCAACATACATCAAACTACCCGAAACATAGTGTGTGACCCTTAACAAGCACAGCGACAATTAGCAATATATCTTGTGTTTTTTACAATCCAAGGAAATTGTACTCTTTTCAATCCTGCACTGGAAAAGTGGAGTATAAGTGAAACAAATACATAATAAATTGTGTCATAATTATCCATTAATCACCCAGCAATTATCCAGTTTAACCATTGTGTGTGTTCATAGAAACAAATTTCTAAGGAGCTGCTCACATTAACTTTAGGAATTGACATCCTTGATCTGTTCCAGTGACATGACAGACAAAAATTTCCCACAACACTTTCATGTCATGAAAAGTTGCATCAATTTAACTACCACCTACTGTAACTTGATTTAGCTTTGCATGTGACAAAATTCAGAAGACCACTAAAAGGAAATCAGGTTAGTCTTGCCTTTTGGGAGCATAGGTTGATAGCATGCAAAAAACCTACTATTTTGTACCCTAATATGATCTTTAAGTTTATGTAGTTACAAGGCTTTGACTTTCCTAACAATCTGTACTCCTGCCTTAGTGGTCTTCTGAATTTTGTCACATGCAAAGCTAAATCAAGTTACAGTAGGTGGTAGTTAAGTTGATGCAACTTTTCATTACATGAAAGTGTTGTGGGAAATTTTTGTCTGTTGTGTCACTGGAACAGATCAAGGATGTCAAGTCTTGTCTACATATGGACTTTTTGTTCTTGCTGGAGCCAAAATACCAACAAATAGAAAGAACATTAATTATGACACTTACGCTGTAAATTCTTGTTTTCTCGTTTGATTGTTTCCAACTGATCTAACGTTTCTTCATAGGCGTTCTTCATTTTGAAGAGTTCAGTACCCAATGAGCGTGACTCTTTCAAGGCACCTTCCAACTCTGACTGGCTCTCCTCATACTTGGTCTTCCACTCTGCCAAAATCTTAACATCCCATGTGTTTAGGTTATTTATATTGCTTACTTATTTTTGAATATAATTACTTATTATTTGCATACAAATTATCATATATAAGTAATATTTTCTGTATATTTTATTTCCATATTTATTTTCTTTGTTTAAAAAAAGGCACAGGCAAAATATTCTCAGCATATCTGACCCTGTGCTTTTAGCAACAACTATGAATATCATTATAGAAAAGTTTATGTGTGACATCTCTGTTTCCAAGCTTTGTCTGTGAGGGGCATAACAATCAACAGAACAAAGTAGGAAACAGCCCTGACTGATAAACCCACACATAATGATTTTAGCAGCCAGAATCCAGACATTTCGCCTGCATCTGTGGCCAGCATCTTCAGAGGTCTATTGGAGGTGAGGCAAGTGCAAGATGCCAGCCACAGAAGCAGGTGAAATGTCAGGAGAAAATACTACTGGAGCATGGCCATACAACCTGAAAAACTCAGAGCAACCCACTCACTTTTTCCTTTCCATTAGTGCCTCCTTGCTCTGAACGTTTTTATGCTTACAAGATATCCCTTAATCAAACTATTTTCAACATGTCATTTTCATGTCCTTTATCACAGTGCAACTTTTTAATTCAAGGAAGTTTATATAGGGTTTCTATGAGTTTCCCCCAACTAGATAAGGTCTAGATAAAAACCCTCTCGGGAATGCTAAAGTTCCACAATGGCAATATTCACACAAATGGACAAAACAACCATCGCAGACCAAACATTCCAAAACAATGGATTCATATAATCCAAAAACATGTTTAACGCTCTATGTTTCAAGTCATGCTTTCCACACATTGAATTGTAAGACACTGCATCATTGAATCCTTGAGTGGCACAGGTTGAACACCCATCATTCAAAATGCTTGGGACTAGAAGTGTTTTGGAATACCTGTTTTACATCTATATACATAATGAGATTATCTTGGAGTTGGGGATCCAAGTCTAAACATAAAATTCATTTATGTTTTGTATGCACCTTATACACAGCCTAGAGATAATTTCATACAATATTTTCAATAATTTTCTGTATGAAACAAAGTTTGTGTACACTGAACCATCAGAAAGCTAAGAGGTCACAGTCTCTGCGTGGATGTACACTGCCAAATAATGGTGTTTGAACAGCATTATAGTCAGTGTAGAGTCATATAATGCAGTTTGAACTGCATTGAACTGCATTAAATGGGTCCACACTGTACATGTGATTTTGGAAGCTGACCTATCTGTAAGCAGGGTTCAGTCTGACCTGCACCAGGGAGCTTGAACAATTTTAGTAACATTTTAATATTGAGGGAATATTTTACAAATTATATCATGGCATCCACCCTCAAATCCCAGCTAGGCTGCAGGTGGCCAGAAAATGGGCTTTTGCACATTTTCAGGTATAAGTGAGGATGAAGTCAGTGACTGTTCCAGTGTCTTGTTGAAGGCTTTCATGGCTGGAATCACTGGGTTGTTGTAGGTTTTTTCAGGATATATGGCCATGTTCTAGAGGCATTTTCTCCTGACGTTTCGCCTGCATCTACGGCAAGCATCCTCAGAGGTAATGAGGTCTATTGGAACAGTGTCAAATATAATTATCCCTCCCACTTTCACTGGCTTGGATTGGAGTGTTTGGTTCAACCCCTTCTTCTCATCTAATGGTCTATAACAGAAGAGAACCTTTCAAAATATACCCTGTCAAAATTCCTTTGTTTCTTGTCCAGAGCAGCAGCTTGTGCATTTGCCCTCTCGACATCCACCATCATGTCTTCCACTTCACATTGCAACCTCTGCTTCGTTTTCTCCAGGGAGGCACACTTGGAATTGACAGCCTCAACTTGTTCTTCAGCTTCTTGAAGTCGTTGGGCTAGTTTTTTCCTTAAAGAAATTTTACAATTATAACTCCTAAGGGACTGATTAGTTTTCTCAGTTTGCCTCCTTATGTACTGTACAGCAGGGTGATGTTGTTGAGAACTCTGCATGTTTGTAGAAGATTAACCATGATTAGCAGACCTCATGGAGAGTTCTCATAGTCTTTAGTAAGGTGTATTGCTAGTAAATGTATAACTCCCCCAAAGTGCAATGATTACATATATCTAGAAGTCTTTGAACACAAATTCCAATCCTTCTGCTAATAAGGCATAAGGGAGAAAACACAATCGGGTTGAGCAGGGCTTACCCATGGGAAGTTGAGGGGCCAAATTAGCTCCCTTAGGAGACTTGGAATGTTTCCTTCAAATGTTTTGATGCCCAAATTGTGTCTGGAGGATATGGGAGGCGTTGTTCTCATGCCCACCCCTTGTGGTTATTTTGGAACCAGCCATGAAACTAAAGTTCAATTAATGTACCCAATTCATGTTTATTTGCTCATAGTAATAGTGAGTACTTCTGAACAATAAAATTATGATAGGGCAAAGTGTGAAAATGACTGTTAGCTGACCACTTCTATTCCAGCACTTACTTGGCCTCCTCCAGCTCTTCTGTGCGTTGAATGGCATCTGTTTCATACTTGGTTCTCCACTGGGCCACCTCACTGTTGGCCTTGGACAAGGCCCGCTGGAGCTCACTCTTGGCTTCCTGCTCCTCTTCATATTGTTCCCGGAGCAAATCACAATCATGGCGAGCAGATTGCAAGGCATGGGCCAGTGCATTCTTCGCCTAAGTAAAACAAATGTTTTATTAGTAACTGAGATCCTTTTCTCCTCCTGTTCACATGGAGACAGCTTCACAAGTGTTTTGGTTGTGCTTTTCCTGCATGGCAGGGGGTTGGACAAAATGGTCTATGTGATCTCTTCGAACTCTATTCTTCTATGTTTCTATGATTCTACCCTACAGTAACAGACTATGCTTCTGTAGATGTTGATGAATTGCTATGTGGACCATGCCTCACCTTTACCTAGGGTTCGTAGAAACTGGAGTTCAAAGCACCTAGAGATCTATTTGTTCCCCAACCCTGTTTCGTATGAGTAAAGTTATTGTAACTAATATCAGTATTAACAAAAGGAAGTTTCTTTTTGCAGCTCAATCAAATTCCAGTCCTGGGTTATTCTAAGACATTTGGATTCTATGAACGAGTGATGTAATCTATATAGATTTACTTCTCTAATATATGGGCTATCCAATTGTGCAATGCAAGGTATTGCCAGAGTTAATATCTTTTTCTACAATAGCAATGCTTATGTTTGGAAGATGTAATGTAAAAAAAAATAATGAGTTGATGTTCAACAGATGCAAGAGAAATTAAAACCTGGAGAAATTAGTATGTTAACAGGATTGTCATCATGCTCATGAATTAATATAACTGAGTTCAAGCACTTTGCCTCCCACCTCCATGAGTTTCATATCTACTTATGTGTGGATTAAACTGAAGAATAAATTATGTAGATCTGGCCTGCCACCATTTGAAATATTTATGTCTCATGGGACAGGCATGGTTTCATATGACCAAAGGCAGCACTCCACAAAGAAATAGAGCCCTATTCACTGTTGGACCAAATTCTATGGATAAATCATCACAGTGCAGTTGCATAATATGCTAGAAGAGCTCATCAAATGTATCCAAAAGGTTGAAATATCTATAAACATTTCATGAGATGGTGATTCATTGTGTCTAATTAAACAACAATATTCCCTAATACTTTGTTCATTTGATTACCTTGGTCTCTTCCTCGAGCTGCCTCTTCAGTTCTTCTATTTGCTGGGTAAATGCTTGCTTGCCTCTGGAAAGTTGAGATATTATGCTATCCTTCTCCTCAATTTGACGTGCCAGTTCACCTTTGGCCAAAGAAGAGACATTCTTAATTTCCTCCCTATGCCATTTGGCAACTATGATGTAGTGTTAGATGTGATGTCATAACTGACAGAGGTACAATAAGCCACAGAACTAACATCCTATTATTATTACTATGTTCATGGGAATTGTTCCCCAAAACACTTTTCTTTTTACAAATATTTTGGTGCTCCAAATATACGTTCTCCTCTAAAAGGACCAGAACACAAGCTTTCCATAAAAGTCCAAAATTACAGACATATTGGAGTGTGATGGTTTTTCAAATTGTCTCTGAATGCACTCAGGCTGTTTGATAGACATGAGACTATGGGAAGCTGGGGAAACATGAGCTGCAAGCAGTGCCTTTTGTGCTTTTCGCACCTTCTATATATCCAAGCCATGTTGCATATTTTCCATGGTAAGGCACATTATCAAAATATGGGGGCATTCTCATTTTTCCTTTTATTTCACTTGTGGAGAAGTATGTCCCCAGTTTGAAAGTTGCACCATAATTGTTAATTGAAGAAATGCAAGCCACTCATATTTCCACTGGCTTTCCTTTTGTGCAAATGCATGAAGTCCCAGACTAATTCTCTCCCTTAGTATAACCTCACTATTCAAGCGCTGATCCATGGGATTTACAATACAGAATGGGTGGTTTACCCTGATAAATCCTGGGTTGCATTAAATCTTGGTGATGTGAAGACAGAATCATGTGGTTTTCATTTTGTTTTACCTGTTACTTTAGCCAGATGGAGACTAGTGGCCTAAATCCTGCCCTCATAATAATTTAAGACCTACTTCCTCACTCAAACACCAGACTATCATTTCTCAGTTTATTTCATGCCTCTTCACACTTGTGTGTTTCTCTGCTTGAATCCACCTTAAATTCTGTGACTGCCTCCTGCAGAATCCTGGGGCTTGTAGTTTAGGGAGGCCCAGGGCTTCTCTGGATGAACAGTTTAAAGGCCCCTCCCTAAGCTACAAGCCCCAGAATTCTGCAGGAGGCAGTCACAGCATTTAAAGTGGATTAAAGTGAAAAAAATGCTCAAGTGTGAAGAGGCATTAGTGGAGGTACACTTTTGGCAAAGAGATTTCACAGAACATTGAGAAACATCAACATTCAAAGTCTTTTCTTTATAATAAATGGTGGGAAGATCTTGGAATGAGTCTTCAACTGATCCCATCACTTCCTTTACCTGATTCAGCCTGCAGACGTGCTTTCATTGTGGTTAAATCAGTCACTGATCTCTGGTTTTCTTCAGACCTCGTCTTTATTTCACTGAGCTGATCCTCTAATGTACGGCACATTTTCTCTAGGTTACCCTATGAACATATTTGAAATTGTAAGTTTATGTTATGCATTCATATGTAACTCTGCATGACTAAGAATGCTCATTTTGCATTTGTTTTGTTTTCAAATACCTTTGATTTGGTGACAGACTCCAGGTTACTGGCCAGATCATCGATCTCCATTTTGCATTCACTCTTTTCCTTTTCCAGTTTTTGCTTGACACGCTGCAGGTTTTCAATTTGCTCTGCAAGTTCAGCCGTGCTATCTGCATGTTTCTTGCGCAACGCTGCTACAGTGGCTTCATGCTGCAGAGCTGATTCCTCCAGGTCACGCCGCATCTTCTGGAATTCTGCCTCTCGCTTCTTATTAAGTTCAATCTGGGCAGAGGTAGCTCCTCCAGCCTCTTCAAGCCGCTCACTGATTTCTTCCAGCTCACGTGCTAAGTCTGCACGCTGCTTCTCCGCTCTTGCCCGATTCGTTCTCTCAGACTCAATTTCCTCTTCCAGTTCCTCAATGCGAGCCTACAAAAAAGATTTTGTTGTAACTAGATATTTTCAGAAGTAAAATAGGACAGTCAGAATCTCTGATGGTGGTGGCAAAGTGCTCTCACAGTCTAAAAGTCATGAGAGACACATGAAAACTTGGAAAACTTCATGGAATTGGGGTTGATTAAAAATTGGGAATAAGAATTAAGGCTTTGTTAAAATGCTATGTTTTGCCATAGGGATTTGAAAAAAGTCTTAAGGAATAGCACAGTACAGAGCAGCAAAAGAGAATAGGCAGATTTTTTTAAAAAGGAAAGGACAAAACAGCAATAGGGACAGAAAAGTTCCATCAGATCAAATATGTAAGGATATTTAATGTAAGGATATTTAAAGGAAAATAGAATTTATGGTGGCTATAAAAAAGAACTTAAGAGCAAAGTGAATAGAAGAGCTACTTCAGAAACATGTATTCAAGTTGTTTTAACGTGATTGTTTCAGTGTTATTACATGACACAACATGAACCATGGGGCTGCTTCAATCCTATTTTTGTTTATCTGTTTGATTTTGCTTGAACATTGTTGTTGTTGTTCATTCGTTCAGTCGTCTCCAACTCTTCGTGACCTCATGAACCAGCCTACGCCAGAGCTCCCTGTCGGCCGTTACCACCCCCAGCTCCCTCAAGGTCAGTCCAGTCACTTCAAGGATGCCATCTTCACAGTTACTCACATGCTAATGGA